TTATTCCTTTACCAGGTTTTGATTTAGCTCCCCAAATATGTACTTTCCGCCCCACTAAGTTTTCAGATTCAATGATACGTTTTTCTCCAGAAATTTGTTTACCCCTGGCTGTTTTAAACCTTGCGTCACATTCATCTTTTCTTATAGAAAGAGCCGCTGCTGCTATATCAAGTTTGCCACCTTCCACAGTGCTGCCTATAACATTGCCAACGCTTTTGGGTTCACCACCTTCCATTACATGCAACACGTTTATTTGTTCACTTGATGGCACTAAATGTTTTGAGAATAGTCCATACATCACTGTCTCGTGGTTTTGAGTATTGTTTTCTTTGGCAAAGCAACCAAAACTTCCACTGCGGACGTAACCAACAGCGACGCTATCACCAGGTGTTAAATATTTTTTAATTGACATTGGAACGAGTTCGTACGCAGAGATTTTGAAGTCACGTAAAACTTGTCGGAGCCTATTTTGCTTTTCTTCCGTAGTAAAGGTCTGAACATCTTTCACAACAATTTGTAGTTTTTGCATTCGACATCCAACACCACAAATATCTTTAAATGTTGAGGACAGGTGTCTACAAATCTACACAATTGAGAAAATACAAATATGTGTTAATTACTATATTTCTGTATCAATGAACATGTACACATGTATTGCTAGCAAAGTTGCATGGCTCCAGTTGAGCCAAAATATTTCAAGATATTAAGAAAGTAAAAATATTCTTGTTAGTACTTTACATGTTATGTGAGATAAATAACTTTTTTGTATTTTGACCTATTTAATGATTTACCAGATGGATTGTGAAGTGTGTAAAATATCAAGAGACATTACGTGCGCTACTGCTGCCTTGTTTTGTTTACTTTAATAATCCGTGTTATAGTTCTATACTAAAAATGTTAGGTTTGAAAAGTAAACAATATTACCTCTTTTAAGTCAAGGTCACTTCTGTATTTTGGAATGTTCTGAATATCGTCAATACTAACGTCACTCATATTAAAGAGTCCTATAATCTCTTCAAAAAGACAATCTTTAGTTTCCGTCTTAAGAGTTGAAAGCATATTTTTTTTAAGAAAGATAATGACATTTGTCTCGCTGGTCTGCTCGTCATCTGAAAGGGTAATTACAACGATTTAGAGTAGATATACAAAATTGTATCTGTTTAACTTAATACGTTGAAAAATATATATTGGCAAGTTATTGTTGATAAATGTTATTTCATTCACCTTAGTCATAAACTAGACAATACATCATATGATAAAGGTGTTTATATATTTAGATATTTAGACGATAAATCAGTATTCCGAAAAAACTACTAAAGAACGTGTGTGTTGGCTACTTATTTAACACATATATCTATTACTTGCCTGTTATTGGCTTTTCTTCATACTCATCCCTATCAGTTGCTTTTTTGTCGGAACGGTTACTTTCAATATCCCCTCCCAATGCACCACAAACTGGCTTGAGACTTTGGAAAAGCCATTCTTCTAAGTCTAAATCTATCTGTTTCCATGCGTTGTTTTTTTGAATGGCATATGTGTTTTGGTATCTTTTAGCTTTTTCTTCCAAGTCAGTTTTGCCTAGGATGATTGTAATGGTTGTCCTGTGTCTTATTGCTGTCAAAATGCGTTGATAGCTTACATGTGTTATGAAGCAAGAGACAGTCGATTGATCTTTAGATTGAACAAATTGTTCAAGGGAGCCACCATCTCTAATCTCTCCTTTCTTAGATATTTCTTGAAGAAATTCGTCGATCATTTTGTCATTTTCAGGGGTGGTACATATATATAACATAATATATCTGCCATCGTGTCCGATGCAGTTTGACTGAAGAACAACTTTATACCGCATCACAACATCCAACAGATTGCCTAATGCATACTCATACCTTGGAAACTCACTCGTCTGAACTTTTATCTCCTTTATGCGAATATCCTGTAGATTTGTAAATACATGAATGCTTTTATATGCAGAATGATTCAAACAATTAATGCTATAGAAGAAAACAAAGTGTTGTTATGTGCAAAGATGACAAAGTTAACTTTTATAACATATTTATGTCTTTGACATTCTTTAACTGCAATTCACTAATGGAATTATACTTACTGATGTTGAAAATTCTACTTTCTTCTTCAAGTATTCTGAAAAAAATAAAGTGTTGGCAAACTATTATAGCAATTTGAACATAGCTAAGTCATTTATTTAATCATTTCTAAAGTTGTTGCAGACTAAATATCTAAATATATATAACTTTGTATGGCAGTGTTGACTTACAAACTGTTGAAGTTCTACAATAATTCTTATTTGTAAATATTAGCGTTCAGGTGCTTTTAAGGTTAATATATACTCTGTCATAATTATCATGATTCAATCTCCGTTCTCATAATATCTTTACTTTCTTCCTCATTTTCGTAATCTGTCCGCCTTTTATTGGGTTCAGGAGGATCTTGGTAAATTTCAATGGCACCGTCGATGTCTTTGAATTTTTCTTCGGTACGCTTCCCATTAAGGTAAACTTCTTTCCAGTGTGAGCCTTAAATTTATAATATATTAATAATTTTATAACCCACGTACGTAAAATCCGACAACATCGTTTTAAAATAAAATGTGAAACAAGCACTTAACTTCAAAGACTATTTTAAAACAATATTTTTACAATCAATACATTTAATATACATGTACCAGATAGTTTAGCTTCAAATTCTGTTGAACACATGGATGCGGGTGATATTATACCAAATCGTTGGCATATTTATCATAAAATATACTTGCGTAAATTTGGTTTACACCCGGTATTTTCAAAATAGCAGCTCACTTTGCTTAGAATGTATTCTACAGTAGAACATACTACGAAACACAGACCACGCATTAATCTGATGGCATATTGTACAGACAGAAAAGTTAAAAATGGAAGAGGATGAATCTCTACTTCAGGTTGTTCATTTATTTTTTCTCTCTTAACCCTTTTTGCTGGCGGGTCATATTGTTCTAAACAGTTCACAGTGTTTTCATTTTCCTTGGTACTTACGTCTTCGTTTGCTGTCACTTTCTGGCAGCTTATGGCTGGAATCATAACCGTTTGTTACATATATACATATAATGTTAAGTATCTCAAGATACCAGAAATAAGGAATCCATTCCCTATATAGTCTTCCAGTATATCGAATGTTTGATGTTTAAAGGCAATGCCAGTATATACCAAAACATTCAGTAATTCGAATATTGAGTCTAATGGCCATTTGCTTCTCACTGCTGATTCAGAAATCATGTGGGTAGTCTGACACTTGCTGAGAAATTGGTGCTTATTGGAAAGCCGACTAGTTGGACTGACCGCCAATATGTGGCAAAAATCGCCTTAAAATAGCGTACAAATATTAACAAACAATTCATCAGCGGATTGTTAAACAATTAAAAATTAAATTAGATAAAATATCAGGTATTGGTGAAGTTTTGGCCTCTTTTTCATTCTTCCGTCATTAGTGGATTTTATTCTTGACAGCTATATTTCAGTAAACAGAAATTTAAAATATTGAAACCATTTCTGTCTCAAAGATTAAAGGTATAAAATAAAAGGATAATTATAAATAGAAGCGTTCTGATGTCATTTACTTTGCTACTCACAGCGTGGACAAATTGATATCCCGAAAGACAATCAATTTCCAACGCTGCTTGTAACAAAATTCAAAGTATCAGAAAGGTTTTTCAACAAAGCATTGAGTATATATTTGGAAACTGCTGTTTGATTTCTTGAGCCAATATGACTTCCTTTACGGAAATTAGAGTGCCATTCTATCTTAATGAAGGAATATGTCAGCTTAATACAAACTTGAGAAACTTTTTCAATGCATTTACTTATTTTTTCAACAATGAAAAATGGGCAAGACATGACGTTAAGTATTCTACTTACTTTCACAACAATAAATAATCATTTAGACCATAATGTAAACTTATTCAATAATAATTCAAGGTATTTTTATATGCAAATGGTATAAAATTTGATTTTACATACCTTAACATTTAACGTAGCAAAATGTAAACAATTTTGGCTTTGGTTTACTACTTATTTACTCTATTTTAACCATAGTTATTTTTAAATTTATTTTAGGAAATCAAATAAGACACTGAGAAGAACAAATAGTTCAAAAGAACCTATGAACTACCCCCAGGTTGTCATTACAAGTAAATACACGTTTTTAAATGTTTGACTGGAAGATATTTTCGACAAACAAGACTATTTTTATTAGTTTGTATCAACAGGTGCTCGTATTACATTATAAACACTAAAAAACAATAAACTCTTAAAGCGCGAGTACGCTTCAACGAATAGAAAACTCTGTATTATGTTAGTGACAAATACTGATCCATATATGGAAGAGCCGGATATTTTTCACGTTGGTTCCCATCTTAGCTGTTTATTACTTATCATGTGATACAGAAACCAAAACTATTGAAGGCGCGGCCTCTTTTGCAAACATGACGTATTCACCTGTCATTTGTCAATCTTATTTATTCACAGCTACTCGTACATATCTATTTCGGAAATAACTTATAGAAGTAAAGTATATTAAATCTCTGTTTGGCGTAAAACGTGAAAGATAATTATTAATCGCAGCGTGGGTAATTATTTTCCGCTCGACCTTCGGTTTCGTGAAATATCAATTCGTATCAAAATACAAAGCATCAGAAAGCTTCTACAGCATACTTTTCGTACTTATACTTTTTGCTATTGCTTAGGTGACAGTACACAGGGATATTTTAAACAAACAAAACAAAATTTTGTTTGAATTCATAGGCGCTTGTATTAAAATGATTTTATAATTTTATACTTTTTCGGACAAAGTCAGTCTGTTATCGGTTTGACTTCTTTAAAATAAACAGGGAAGGACTGAATATAAGAAGAATTTTCATTGGTCATTTTAAAATTACAAACTGAAATCGGTGAAACTCATTGGTCATTCTAAAATGAATTGTAAAGGATAGTTCTAAAATATATGTATAAGAATGAGGATAGTTTATAAAGTCAAACGGAAAACAAGTAAAAGGACACTTTAAATAGAAGTTGTTCTTCTTTAAAAATCATCAATATCAATATGCTATAATTTCATTTCAATGTTTACAAATTGGGTTTCCCTTAATAGCTACAAGAAATAATTATCATGCCATGTTATGCAAGCATTGCTAAAATTTCTTTTTGTATTGAAAACTTGAAAATAACATTCGTTTGTATGTTTAACAGTTAAACTTCGGCCGAGTATCTTTTTAAAAGATACTATTTGTAACTAATATTTGACGAAGGTAATTTACTATGATATGTGTCTCTTTCTTTTACCTTTCACAACTTATGGTCATCTCTACAAATTTGAAATATAACATTTATGGATAGAATAATTATAAATCAACAAAATAGACTTTCGAAAGTCTGTAAAAACATCTAAAACATCACGCTAAAAACACGTGAAAGTTTCTGGTCATCACTGTAGCACAGTCCGGTCAAAATAAATAACGGGATAAAAATGAAACATCAAGCTTCTTAATATTTGGGCGGGAAAGAAAATATATAAAGGAAAGGAAATTGTAAAATGAATAATTTTACCAAAACGTATGCTGTCAGTTGTGTGTAAAAGACTTAGAAAAAAATGATTCTTTATACTTTCATAAATTATACGACATATTTATTTTATTAGAATGGTACTTTTAAATGGCTTTCATATAAATTAAAGTGGCGGATTTTCGCACGAAACTTAACGAAAAAGAAATAACGCTTTTTGATAAAGGTGTTTGTTTAGTTAATGATAGACTTTATTTCCAATACTGCAAAGTGTTTTTGAGGTATAATAAGGATTGACTTAGCCCAAAAGCATGTTTCATTTTAAAGTGACATTATGCCCATCGAAGCGTATGTCAGTGAACAGGCGAAAATTAAAATAAGTCTATATTTTGCCATAATGTATTAATTCCTTTCAATTTTATAATATATTTCCCATAAACGATAAAAAAATCATTTAGCCCAAAAATAAATCTGTAAATATCCACCGGAGGTTTACCTGTAACGTTCATATTATAAAAAAAGAGTAGGTCAGTCTTTTATATATTTTTGGCAGATATATATCGTATACTAAACATTTCTAAGTATCAATTGTTCGTCAGTCACCATTATAACAGTCATTCTATTAAAATAAATAGTCATTGCAGTTCAGCTTCAAAATAAAGGCATGAGCATAATGTCACTTTAAAAAGAGGAAAATAATCGACATATCTAATAGTTAGTTATCTACGAGTATGTGAAACTTTTATATAAATATATCGAGTCATTTAAAGTGTAAAATACACACCTAGTTCCTCTTTCTGTGTTGACACATCGGTAGCATTATCGGCACCCTGGCCTATTATTCTCTTAACTTGTACGGAATGCTCTTTCTTACTTGACGTTTTGTTCTGCTTTACCTTATCGCTAACCTTATGAAAGCCACTCCTTTGAAATGAAATAGAGCTGTTCATTTTACTGTACTGTACTTTCAAACTTAAAAGTCCTTTTGTGATTTTATTATTTTCAAAATAAATCAAAATAAATCATGATTAGTATACGATAAAAAAACGTATAATACATAACAAAACAAAATTATAAAGTTTTTTATACGGATAAGGCGGGTATCTATTTTAACTCATGCCTACAGCGTTTAACTGACATATTGATATAACCAATACCTGAATACGTTACAGCGGTGATCGCGATGGGTATGGGCATGAAATCGTCAGTGTAGTATTGCGCAGTATTCCTATATTGTATCATAGTTTGGAGACCTTTTAATAGTATATGTATGTATGTAAACATACATGTATATGCACAATGCATTAACAGGTTTATATTACGTGCACTCCAGTTACATGCGTTACCGCACTGTCTGTCAGAATAAAACTATTGCAGGCTTGTTGATTGACTCATTTTTTCTGGGGTTTTCTTTTCTGATGACAGAGAAAGGGACAACGATAGAATGGTCATATTCAGATGCTCGAATACTGTTTTTCTTGGGTTTCATATTGCGACGATAGGAAGCGTGTTTTTGTATACATTGCTATGCATTAGATTTATGAAAGAATATGTTTTGAAATTCAGCGTTTCTTTTGCCTAATTCAGTAACGGGTAAACAAAACGATCCGGCTATTCGACCCATAACAATTCGTCGAAGTTGTAATATTTACGAACGATAAGAAATAATCCTTTGAAACTTAGTGTAAATCAGTAAAAGCATTAAGAATTAAAAACATTAAATTAATGTTTACATAGCAGGAAAATTAATTAATGTATGGATTTGTTTATAGTTTCAATTGTTTTCTATTAATTCTGTTCTAGGTGCACCACAACTGATGCATATTAATTCAAAACTCATACACGTCCTTTATCATTATCATAATTGTGTTATCGTTCAATATTCAAAACCTTTACATATGAGCTTCTTTTATTATAACATGACTTTAACTAAAATCATTTCAATTTGAAAAAAATAAATTCCTGGTTCAAATATGTTTTGCATGCAAAACAAATCTGCAAAACGAACTACTGAATTTTTCGCTTGAAGCAATTTTTGATTGAGATATAATAATGCAAAAGACCCATTTTTCTACCATGGATTTGACTGAATAATAGCCCTTTTAGAACTCAAATATTACCTGGTCAAAGAATTTCGAAAAAAATAAAGCAATCATGTAACCATTGTTGTTAACATTGTTTGGCTACACTATCACTTACGTTTTGTGAACAATTATCTATGTCTGAGCTCTGGCAGTAGCTCCAATTACTAAATTTTGATACATGGACATACATGTAGGTTTGCCTTTTTCAGAAATGTGGGGAACCTATAGATAACTAATGTTATAAGTGTATATATAAGGACAATGGTTGTACGATGGTTATATTGGGAAATTTATGATTTCAAAAATGTATAGTACTGTAAACATTCCGGCCGACGCAAAAACGATATACACTAAACATAAATGCTCTTTTCAAACGCTTAAGAGCGCATGCAAAATAAAAATGAATAAAATATCGTTCTAACATAAAAATTTAACACCTTTAGGCTGCGATTGTTTACCGATTTGTTTAAATGATAAATGTATATTTTATTAGGGTTAAATCAATATGCTTTCATCATTTTTTTTAATAACAATGTAGCTCTATAATGTTTATCAGTATCTTTTTTATGATTCCAAACACCCTGTTCTTAAATACAGTCCACCCTGTCTCGTAATTCGGTCCATCTCAGTCTAAGTACAGACCCCATGTATCTGCCCACATCCTATTAACATTTGCGTGTGAAAACTCACCTAATAGAACTCCATATAATTTCTGCGCTCACTTTTTATTTAAAATTTACAATCCGATAGGTGTAAATATCCTCTGGTATTTTAAAAATTCTAAATCCTTTCGGGCTATGGGAAATGAAACTCACTGGTTAGGAGTCAAGTTATGAATTCAGGACTCAAGTCAACATTCAGTAGTCTATGCAAAATTCTCTTCCCCCCCCCCCCCCCCCTCGAACAAAAAAGGCCAAAATTCAGTACTGTTACAATGTTTTATAAAACCGTCACATAAAATTATACGAGTATACACAATTATTCTTGATGCCCCCGCAATAAAATGACCGGGGCATACAGTGTTACCCTGTTCCGTAATTATGTCCTTCAGTCCATCCGTCATTTCGCCATTTTGTCTTTCCGTCATTCCGTCATCATCAGTTTCCATTCATTATCATAGTAACGGTTGCACAAATTCAACTCAAATTTAAATATGAATATATCATAGGAAAATACAGTACGTTCAGTACCCATTTTACGTTAGCCAATCACCGTTACTGTTACGAAACGGTTAATCGAACGAACCGTTTTGGCGCTAACGTTTAAAGATGGTGGACAGGAGAATAATATCGGCGATTTTGTTAGAGGAATTGGCGGAAGATGACTTATTTACGCAATTTAATTTTAATCAAACATTGGCAATTGATGTCATGAATGTTTCTCTTAGTATATATATTCAAATTTCATGTAATTGTGGTTTATTTGCTGTTAAAATTACATCTTTTCACCCGAATTACAACGACGGTTCAAGACTTTTAACTGTCCGGGAAGTCTCGTCGTACTTTTAGATTTCCCAAACTTATAATGGACATATGTAATTTGTTTAAAGTGGCGTTGAGATAATTACTATAATTTTATTATCTTTGGTAGATTTTAGTTTTAAGAAATCAACTTTTTTTCTGGTGGATCTTTGAGTTCCATTCATGTAAAAATTTGTTTCCAACAAAGGAAAAGGATATCCAGAATAAGACTTATTATAGTATATAGCCCATAAAGAACTTCAAAAACAGTTTGTTTCAAGTACCTGTGTCCAGAACGTTTCTTCTAATATGTACAAATTCAATTCAGAATATATTCACTTATGGTGGTCAAAAATTGCAATTGTGAATAAAATCAATCGGCAATTTGTAGCCTAAGGTTCTATGTAGCCCAACAAATTTTGCGCTTTCGGGCTTTTTATTATAAAGACGATGGTCGTACTTCATCTAAGACCAACATCTGTCGAATATCAGTTTGTAAACTCGGTCAGTCTTGCAGTCCAAATATTGAGACTAGGTTCTATGGTATCATGGTTATGTTTTGAAATTATGGGCCATGTTGGTGTCATTGTTACGTACAATATACCTAATGACAGTTTCTATATAAACTGTTTAAATAGCCAAGGTAAAATGAGTGTAAAATCACCAGCTGTTTCCCTTATCTTTGAGTAAAATCAACATTTCTAGTGCCAAAAAAATACAAATTTTGCCATATTTAAGCCGCAAGTTAATTTATTGTGCCATTTTCTTGTTTATTACACCAATTAAAAGCTGGTGATCTTAGTTTTATCTCAGTATGTAATTAAACATCTCTTTAGACATCAAAAGTATTTAAACTACCACATGTCACGCCATTTAACATATGATCTATACAGAGAGATATACAGCTCGCAAAAGTACTGATAAGAAAAGCATGTCGTCTGCTAGTTTGGAAACTGTCAATTGATGTCTAATTTGTATTCTTAATGCATTTGTATATATTACTATGGATAACAGAGAATGGAGAAAATCGTGTTTCCTTGGTATTATTTTGTCTCTTATTTAAGATATTTTAAAACTTGCAAATGTTGTTTCATTGGTTGTGTCCAGCAGCAATGGTGATCCAGTACGTGTTGAAGGTTAGAATGTAGAGATCAACGTTTGAGGTAACGATCGAAAGCAAATTTGTTACACATTTACAATACAAGCAACTGACATTAAACAAAAGTAAATGGACGATTGTCGTAGTATTTTTGAAATACTTCTGTTAGGTTGGGAATTATTTGGTATTTTGTAACCAAATACCCTTGATACTTTCCAAAGTAAAAATGGTATAAAAGTACATTAAAGTAAATTGTCTTCCTGTGTAGCTGATAGAATCATTGTCGAAAATATTTGAACCAATTTTTCTTTTACTAAGTTTGTTTGTTTGTTTGATTGGGTTTTATGTCGCACCGACATAGTATAGGTCATACTGCGACATTCCAGCTTTACTGATGGAGGAAGACCTCATATGCCCTTCCGTGCATTATTTCAGGCACGAACGGGTACCTGAGTTGAACCACCCGACGTTCCGTAAGCTAGCTGGATAGCTTCCTCACATGAAAGAATCCAAAGTCCCTGTTTGGATTCGAACCCACGGCGATGAGGGGCAAATAGTTTGAAATTAACAACCTTAACCACTCGGCTATGGACGCCCCCACGTTTAGTAAGTGATATACTTCAATTTGGTGTTACTGTTTACTTTGTTTTGTTAATCCAAATATGCATCCTTTTCAGGGCCGTCAAAATCTGATTTTGACTAACTTGTCCGTTTTTATGTGAAGCATTTTTTAATTTGTACATATAAATTCTTGAAAATTTTCACTTGTCCGTACAGGCTGTCGGACAACCTGGACAATACGGACAATTGATTTTACCGGCCTTGCTTTTAACCACAAACTTTGTAAAAAAGCCATGCATAAGACATATTGAATTTGAAATTTGTTCTTCAGATGTTATGCACAGAAGTTGCCCCCGAAATTCCTAGAGAGCGTTCAATTAACCTGGAAACAAAGATGTTAGCCACCCTGTGGTTACTAGGTATGCAAGAAAGTTACAGAAGTGTGGGAGACAGATTTGGTATGAGTAAAGGTAATACTATACATGAAATATCTATAAATATATTAATGCCCTTTTCACACTGGTCGTCTGGATAAGCTGAAACTAAATTTTGATAATTTTATCGTGAAATTTCCAACTATGTAGTTTCACTGTTGAATTATTCCAAAGTGAGTGCATTTGTTTTAATGTCGAGAGATTACAGCAATTAACCAAATAAGTTTGTAAGCATAAACTGTATCAGAAAAACCATGACACAGGGGTGTAATAAAGCCATTAAATAAAAAAACGATATTACACTAGTGTAATAACCATTGGGACTTGATTTCATTTGCGTTATGTATATATGCATACTGATCACGCCCGTTTAACTCACGAGTGAAAAATGTCCATCGGTTAAACTGTTGTGAGCAACTTCCGTTCCTCGTTGTGAGCACCCATCTTTGACGTGTGACACGATAAACAAGGTGAGTTTTTCATATTTTTTTAAGATTACAGACATTTATATAAAAATATCGGAATGCAGTTAGCTAGCGATGTGTTTTCCGAGTATGCACATGTAAAGATATTGCCTGTTGGTGGACAATTTGATGGAAATACCGTGCGACGCAGTGACTCGGGGTAGCAGGAAAACTGGAGACAACGTCTCTTTGGACCTAATTTAACATTGAAAACGTCGATTTTGGTGACGTTTTTTGCATTCTAACCTAAAACAGATGATCACAAGTCTTCAGCGTAAATTATTATCTGAAAGTCTTCATAGAAACGAAGATATACCCCTTTTTGCTTTAATCCTCGTTGTGAGCACCATAACCTCGTTGTGAGCAAGACAAGCGCAGTGCGTGTATGGTTTTAATATGTAATTCAGATGGTGAAAATATAATTTTCAATCAACCACAGCAATTAAAACGTTTTTGCACAGCAGCATTTCTTTGCAAGACGTTGTGCATACCCCCAAAGGGAGGCACATTAGTTTTGAACTGTCCGTCTGTCAGTCCGTCAATCTGTCCGAAAACTTAACATTTTAGCGGAAGAACTTCCTACGGACCTGTATTTTTTTACCTTGGCCCCTGAATGGCCTTTACCTTGAAGGTCAAATTGTCCAAAAACATTTGAGATTGGCCATAATGTCCTGGCATAATGTTTAGGCACAACACATCTTTGGACAAGGCCTTTCAGCTATCCTATATTCTTTGACCTTGACCCCTGAATGACCTTCACCTTGAAGGTCAAATTGTCCAAAAACTTAAAAATTGGTCATAACTTCCTTATTAGCATACGGATTTTACTCATATTTTAAAACAACACCCCTTTAGGCAAGACCTTCAAACTGATCTGTATTTTTTTACCTTGTACCCTGAATGACCTTCTAGCACATCCAAAAACTTTATCATTGGTCATAACTTCTTTATAAGTAAGTGGAATTAGTTCACATTGGTCATAACTTCTTTATAAGTAAGTGGAATGAGTTCATATTTGGACACAATGCCCATTTGGACAAGACCTTCCAACTGACCTATATTTATTTCACCTTGACCTTGAATGACCTTCACATTGAAGATCTAATTGTCCAAAAACAAATAATCTATCTGGTCTATAAATCAAAGGACAAAGCACTACTTCAGGGGCATTGTCAACTTACCATGATAGTTCTTGTTTTACATAACTTGGTCAGTCTTCAGCTCAGGATAAACACATGTTTGTGTGTATCACACAGATTGTGAAATTGTTGAAATATTAATAAACTCCCCGTGATGTTCACTCATACCACACTAGAGTATACGAAATAAAATAGCTGATTTACCTCCACTGATTAGTTCTTAAGTTAATCTGATGACTTGTGAATATGAAGAATAATTTTCAAAAAAGAAAAAGAAGAACTATTGCAGAGAAAAACTATTGTACAAAAACGTTTTGATTGCTTTTGGTAGATTGAAAATTGTATTCTTGCCATTTGAATTACATATTAAAACCAGACAAGCACTGCGCTTGTCTTGCTCACAACGAGGTAATGGTGCTCACAACGAGGATTAAAGCAAAAAGGGGTATATCTTCGTTTTTATGAAGACTTTCAGATAATAATTTACGCTGAAGACTTGTGGGCATCAGTTTTATGTTAGAATGCACAAAACTTCACCAGAATCGACGTTTTCAATGTTAAATTTGGTCCGGAGAGAAGTTGTCTCCAGCTTTCCAGCTACCCCGAGTGACTGCGTCGCACGGTTTTTCCATCAAATTGTCCACCAACAGGCAATATCTTTACATGTGCATACTCGGAAAACACATCGCTAGCTAACTGCATTTCGATATTTTTACATAAATGTCTGTAATCTTCAAAAATTATGAAAAACTCACATTGTTTATCGTGTCACACGTCAAAGATGGGTGCTCACAACGAGGAACGGAAGTTGCTCACAACATTTTAACCGATGGACATTTTTCACTCGTTGTGAGTTAAACGGGCGTGCTGATAAAGCCGCTACACTAAAGAGGCATAAATGGAAAATGGCTCTTTTTGCCAGTTTACTGTTCTTATTTTGATATATGTGATGAATATAATATTACGTTCACCGGAGGCTCGCCTAATATAATTGTATTCAACTCATTCAATAAATTTAGTATTAAATATTCACTCATTCAATATTGTCAATATATGTACTTATTTTGCATTTGAAAAATATAAAGTTACTTACACAAGTATTGACAGTTATATTAAATAATGTTTTCTGGATATTGGGATGTGATGTATTTAACATTAAAAGGACAATCATGTTAAATTTAACCAATGTAAAAGATATTTGTTGAAACCTATAAAGTGAAAATGCAACTGGCCATTAGACTGCTCAAGTGCAAATTCAGAAGGCTGATATACCTCGATATGTTAATGGTGGAGGAAATTCCAGTAACGATCACATCTTGCTGTGTTCACCACAACTTAATGGCTCTTTCAACATCCACTCTAGTGGACGAGTGTACTTTATTGAACTGTTTTTAAACCCTGTTTAAATGCCCATTGTCTCTTAAAGGAACCAACATATTCACTCTAAATGGGTAGGCCGAATCCCTAAGAAGATGCTTATCATTAGGCAGATTAGACACTTTTTCTGATATGGGCAAAAAGCAGTTATTCTTATGGAATAATGCTTTGCTGTATCAACTTACATGAAAGTTATGGTATGAATTATTCAATAATTAAAGTTATGGTATGAATTATCCAATGATAAAATTTATAAAAGCTAATACTTATGCTAGTGACAGGCTAATTTCTTAGCATATTCTGTTAGTCTACTCTAGTCAATTAGTACCTGCCACAGGACAGTGCCGCATTTAATTGAATGACCATAGTTGGACTTTGATTGTATGTAGTTGCGAGTTAATTTCAATTTCTCTGTACACACTATAAATTTTAGGACAAATTTTAATACATGGAGTATGTTACAAAACTTAAAATCTTAAATGTTCACATAGTCGAAAAGAAAAATGGCAGCCTGACTAGACTCGAACCAGAGACTCTCGGACAACCTTTTCGGATCTTTATTATTATTCCTACTGGAATGGAACCATAGTTGTAATTCCTTGATTTTTGCTTGATACCAATATGAATATTATCTAAATGCACATGTATCCTAGTACGTAAACAAAAGATAATGAGGCATTAATTTTGGCTCTAGAATTATACTGATGTGTGAATGCAGATTAAAAAGGTTGTTAGTGTTTTAAAATCTGAACTTAATTAAGTTGTTATACATATCACAAGATGTTGTTTGTCATTACACATATAAATGATTTCTCCCATTCATACCTTATAAGTACAATACATTCTTGTCTACATAATTGTAAACCCTCAGCAAGGGTCTTTAGAATGTTGTTCCGTTCTCGTGCAATGGCAATCATTTGCCTATTGCTTTCCTCCAGAGAGTCCATTCGTCTATTAGCCTGCTCAGCATAGGCTCTGAACCATTCTGGAGGCTCACCACTCCTTTTCCTCTTTCGGTTTAATACCGGAGTCTCTGAACCGCCAGGTGCTCCATGGTCATGTCGAATTTGGTCATGGTCCAAAGATTTTTGACAGAGTTATGCCCGTTGATGATTTTCTTCAGTTTCCGTTCATTATCTCCCCAACAGTATTAGACATTCAATTCAAATTTGACATATGGATATGTCAAAAAAAATGCGCAGGTGAATTTCGAACTTTATCATGGTCAAATGATTTTTGACAGAGTTATGCCGCTTTAAATTTGCAAAGAAAAGAGAAATTTTCAGTTTCTGTTCATTATCTGCCCAACAGTTATATCATTAAAATACGCTGGTCATGTTACAATTTGGTCATGGTTTGATGATTACTGACAGAGTTATCCCTCTATAACTTGGTTTCCGTTCATTATCTTCCCAATGGTTTTACACATTCTACTAAACTTTGACATATAGATTCATCTAAGGAATAAGCAGGGCAACTTAGAATTTGGTCATGGTTCGATGATTTTGGACAATGTTATATCTCTTGAACGATGGAAAAATTTTGAAATTTTCAGTTTCAGCACTCATACTTTTGTGGAAATGTATGAACTAGTCATTATATCGGCTACAAATATGCCATATGCAATTTGCAAAGGATAAACACTGAATGGTTTCAGGGCATTGAGCTTTGTATAAAAATGGTTTGTGTTAACATTGAATAGTTAAAGGGCTTTGAACTTATTAAGAAAAGAATACACCGAATTTTGAACTAAATATAATTTTAACATTTGAAATTTTGGTTGCATGCGGGGGTATCCGTGGCGTGACAACGTATCACCAGTTTTTAATATCGGTTTCAGACATAATTATTACAAAAATGCAGTCCAGCCAATGATAAGCTGGAAATATATATTAATATCAGAGGGGTAGAAACACATGCAACCTGAATCGAACTCCACCCGAAGACCCTCAGTTGGAATAGTGTACCTCAGCCCTACCCAATGACACCACAACCCTTGGAATACCATTACACTTTAACATCTTCTGTCCTTATACATGCATAATTATTTCTATCTCTATACTTTTGCATAGTCCCCAACTAAACTAAAATGTGTCCTTAAATCATTTGTACGCCAATCTTACAAAGAGAAGTCATTTGAGACTTATTTACCGCCATAGACTCATGTTTATGGAACGCCGTGACTGTCTTATGTAATCAATGTTTTTGTTATCTTGTGAAACGATGATATTATTTTGTCGTTTGAGCATGTTAACATGTGCAATTTACATCATGTCTTGTCAAAGGAACATGCTGACTTGTACAAACAGCATGTTAACTTGTCAAATTATTATGATGACATGTGCAGATAACATGTTAACTTGTCAAAGTATAATGATGACTTGTGCAAATGCCATGGTAACTTGTCAAAATGTAATGATGACTTGTGCAAACGATATGTTAACTTGTCGAATTATTGTGATGACATGTGCAAACAGCATGTTAACTTGTCAAAGTGTCGTGGTAACTTGTGCAAACGCCATGTTAACTTGTCAAATTATAATGATGACTTGTGCAAACGACATGTTAACTTGTCGAATTATCGTGATGACATGTGCAAACAGCATGTTAACTTGTCATACGTTAATATATTTGTCGACTAGAAATAACATGGATGTCGACATACATGTTACTTCAAGTCGACAAATTTATTTATGTAAGAAAGTCGGGATGCCGTATCTCGACATGATGACATATATTTTGTCAAAATGAAATGGTATATATAAACTTGTCGTCGTAATTTTGACGACTTGTTGTGTTCTATAAGTCGAGGGAGACGACTTCATGTCTTCATAGCGGGGGTACATACAAGCTTCCGTAGAATCGTGATGACTTGTGCAAATGACTTGTTATCTTGTATCATGCTGGCATGTCAAAACGTACTGTGAACTTGTCAAAGTATTATGATAACTTGTGCAAATGCCATGTTAACATGTCAAAATTCCATGATGACATGTGTAAACAGCATGTTAACTTGTCGAACTATCGTTGTGACATGTGCATACAGCATGTTAACTTGTCAAAATATCATGATGACTTGTGCAAAAGACATGTTAACTTGTCCAAGTATAATGATGACTTGTGCAAATGCCATGTTAATTTGTCAAAATTTCATGATGACATGTGCAAACAGTATGTAAACTTGTCAAATCATTGTGATAACATGTGCAAACAACATGCTAACTTGTCCAATTATCATGGTGACTTGTGAAAGCGACATGTTATCTTGTCAGAATTTCATGATGACATGTGCAAACAGCATGTTTACTTGTCAAGGTATCGTTATGACTTGTGCAAACTCCATTCTAACTTGTCAATGAATCATGATGACTTGTGCAAATGCCATGTTAACTTGTCAAATTATCATTATGACATGTGCAGACAACATGTTAACATGTCAACGTATCATGATGACTTGTGCAAACAACATGTTAATTTATCAAAGAGTCGTGATGACTTGTGCAAAACACATTTTAACTTGTTAAGGTATTATGAGCATGTCATCACGATAATTCGACAAGTTAACATGCTGTTTGCACATGTCATCATGAAATTTTGACAAGTTAACATGTCGTTTGCACAAGTCATCATGATATTTTAACAAGTTAACATGTTGTTTGCACAAGTCTTTATGATACGTTGATATGTTAACATGTTGTCTGCACATGTCGTAATGATTATTTGACAAGATAACATGCTGTTTGAACAAGTCAGCATTGTCTGTAGACAAGATATGATGTACATTGCACATTTTAATATGCTTAAATGACAAAATAATATCATCATTTCAGAAGATAGCAAAAATATTGATAGCATAAGACAGTCACGGCGTTCCATACATGTTGGTCCCAATAAGTAACATGGTGAGAAAATGTGCAGTCTGACAAGGGGTCAAAGCTGAGAAGCAATGAATCTATTCTGCAGTTCTACCAACTAAGCTATAAGCGGTTTTCATACATATCTTCTCTCCTAATTTTATACTGTGGCATACTTTATTGAAATTTCACCAGAATGTTTAACAGGAGAACTGAGAACTCTTAACAGCTATAAAGTAACTACCATCATGGCCCACATTTGGGCCAAATATCAAAGTTTGAGAAAACTGTGCATTCTGACAGGAAACCTTAAAATACAATATGGGGGTGTTCTGCCAGCTATCTGGCTATCTCACATCCCACAATTTAAGATAACAGTTCTATACTGTAACATATTTTGTATCACAGTTTGGAGACCTTTCTGTTGAAAATGTGTCAAAGTTAAATCGTATGCATATGCATGCACAGTGCGTTAACTGGAGTGCAGGTATTAGTTACCCGCACTACAGAGCATGCCCATTCATTGGCTCATTTTTGCTCGGGTTAGCTTATTGTTCCACGAAAAAGAAAGGGAAAGCGATAGAAATATCATATTCAGATGCTCGTTCATTGGTAACTTTTTCCTGGGGTGTCATATTGTGACAACAGGGGACGTATTTTATGTTTAACTATGAGACAAAGGAGAAAGAACATTAAAACACTCGGCAATCTGATTTATACTATTTGTACAAATCAGATAGCCTCGTGTTTCGATTGTCTTTCTATTACTTGTATCTTTCTGTTGAAAATGTGTCAGAGATAAATCGTATACATATAAAAGCACAGCGCGTTAACTGGAGTGAAGGTATTAGTTATCCGCAACACTCCAGAGCATGCCTATTGATTTGTTAAATTTGTCTTGGGTTTACATATTGTGACGACAGAGAAGAGGATAGCGCGAGAAATTTCATATTCAGATGCTCTTTCATTGGAACTTTTTTCTAGGGTATCATATTGTGATATCAGGGAACGTGTATTTTTTACTATGATACAAAAGAGAAAGAACATCAAAACACTCGGCAATCTGATTTGTAGAGGGGGCTACGCCCCCCCCCCCCTCGTACAAATCGGATAATCTGGTGTTATGATGCTCTTTCTATTACTTATTTTTATTTGAGCCACAATTTGTTTTTAAAACCCAAATAGATAGGCATTTAAGCCTTCAGCGAGCATTTATCATATGTTAATTAACCTTGCTAGCTCCAGTGGAGCAAATATGCTAAGTGGGGGATTTAAAGACATACGTGTAGGCTATCTATTGGGGATGTAAGGACGTACATGTTTGGTTGATACGGCTAGGAAATCTATATTTATTTATTTACAGCTCATGTCCGAATTTTCCACAGACTAGAGACATGGCATCTTAACACACATTCATACTAAATTGTGATTTCTATTTGATAATGAATTACCTGACACATAAAACAAACTTTTTCAGAAAATGACTTCAAAGAGGATTATCCCCTGTTTACATTGAAAATTTCTCTGCTATTCACACCACAGTCACATACTTTTTTAAACGAAATATCAAAGAAAAAAGTTATCTTAGAGAGGAAGTAAATATTTCGTTCAACAAGGAATTTAAATGTTATACTCTTTAAAATTAATGCAAATATTTGTAATCTTAAAACTTCATGCCGGAAGTTTTTTGGGGTTTTTTTTATCATGCCGAGCTAACTACCTGCAGCGCGTAAACAACAGCTGGGTTAAGGTTAATAAGGGTTAGGTGATTTAAACCTAATTGTATCATAGTTTGGGGACCTTTCTGTTGAAAATGTGTCAGAGTTAAATCGTATACATATACATGCACAGTGCTTTAACTGGAGTGTAGGTATTAGTTACCCGCGCTCCAGAGCGTGCCCGTTGATTGGCTCATTTTTGCTGGGGTTTACTTATTGTGACAGAAGAGAAAGAGAAAGCGACAGAAATATCATATTCAGATGCTCGTTCAATGGTTACTCTTTCCCGGGGTTTCATATTGTGACAACAGGGAACGTGTTTTTTATGTTTGACTAGGATACAAAAGAGAAAGAACATCAAAACACTCGGCAATC